TTAGCATCGTTAACCTCGTCCGTGGCCAACCACCTCGTAAACGTCGCAAGACAAGAGACCTCAAACCCATCGTCTATGTTAGATTTAACAAACGAGAAAAAGGGAAACCAAAACCCGTTACACTCCATTGCTTACTGGATACAGAGACATCCGGAACCTTGATTGCTCAACCTCATGCTAAGAATTACGCATGAAGGATCTTGGGGGGTCCAAACGATGTGGACTACCCCTGCAGGAGAATTAAACACCAGCACGAAGTGCAAAGGTGCATTTATGATTCCTGAATTCACGAAGATAGAATTATCGAGTGGGATTTACACGTCACCAAGAGCTTGGGGGCGTATGACATGATCATAGGTCGAGACATTCTCTCTGATCTAGGATTCAAGTTCGATTTCACTACCATGTCAGTGGAATGGACGGCGCATCTATTCCTATGAAAGACAGCGACACCAATGAAGAGGAGAACTTCTTCATTCCTGATCCTACGCTGATGAGCAGTGCAGATGTCTCAAGAAGATCTTGATGCGAAATACGAACAAGCTGACTTAAGGCAGGTTTGCCAAAGTCAAGATCAGTTAAACACGGAAAGAGAAGGAACAGCTTCATTCCTTACTGACGAAGTACTCTGACCTATTCGATGGTACTTTAGGAAAGTGGCAGATGGACGACTACGAAGTAGAACTTCTCCCTGATGCTAAACCCTATCATGCCAGGGCTTACCTATTCCACGGGTCCATACCAACACTCTTAAGATGGAGGTTGAACGTCTCTGCGAGCAGGAGTACTCAAGAAGGTAAACCGTTCCGAGTGGGCGGCACCAACCTTTATCATTCCCAAGAAAGACGGATCTGTACGATTCATCTCTGATTTCCGGGAACTGAACAAAAGGATTAAGCGGAAGCCTTATCCAATCCCAAAAAATACAGGACATGCTCTTGAACCTAGACGGATTCAAGTACGCTACTAGTCTAGACCTGAACATGGGATACTATCACATCGAGCTGTCACTCACTCGAAGCAACTCTGTACCATCGTACTCCCGTGGGGAAAGTACGAGTACCAGAGGTTGCCAATGGGCCTATGTAATAGTCCCGACATCTTCCAAGAGAGATGGGAACACTAATGCACGACTAGAATACGTCCGTGCATACATTGATGATCTACTCATCCTAACTAACGGCGATCTAGCAGATCACGTTGAAAAGTTGGATGAAGTTCTCCGAAGGCTTCGAGAAGCCGGACTTAAGATCAATGCTACCAAGTCCTTCTTCGCAAGAGAGAGAACTTGAGTACCTAGGTTACTGGATTACTCGAGAAGGGATCCAACCTATAACCAAGAAAATAGACGCGATCAAGAATATCGCTCCTCCTACCAACAGGAAGAACTCCGTAGATTCATTGGACTATGTGAACTACTATCGAGACATGTGGATTAGACGATCACATGTACTGGCCCCACTCGCTTCGTTGACTTCCAAAACAACGAAGTGGAAATGGGAAGCGGAACACGACAAGGCCTTTAGCCAGATGAAGAAGATCATCAGCAAAGAAACCTTGCTCGCTACCCTGACTTCAACGATACATTCGTTATCCACACGGATGCGAGTGATACTCAACTAGGTGCAGTAATTTCCCAGAAGGGAAAACCTATCGCGTTCTACAGCAGGAAGCTCAACCCTGCTCAGACACGTTACACAGTTACCGAGAAGGAACTTCTCAGTATCGTAGAAACTCTAAAAGAGTTCCCAACATTCTTCTAGGACAGAAGATCGTTGTACATACGGACCACAAGAATCTTACATGCAAGAACTTCAATACCGATCGCGTAATGCGATGGCGCCTTATTCTGGAAGAATACGGCCCTGAACTACGGTACATCAAGGCGAACAGAACATCGTCGCCGATGCGTTGTCGAGACTTAACATCTCCAACAACGACGGTTCTTCAGAACAGATGGACGCCAGCGAGATCGCTGAACTCATGGCTGCAGACGAAGAGGACTTCCCTAGCGAGTTCCCTCTCTCGTTCCCCGAGATCGAACATCGCAAAAGACGACAACGATATCAAGAAGCTCCTCAGGGACAAGCCAAACGACTACAAGAAGCAATCTTTCCCCAGAGGGATAAGTCCTACGACTTAGTAGTTAAGGACGAGAAAATCGTCGTACCTAAAACTATGCAGAAAAAGCTAGTTGAATGGTACCATGGTGTGCTGATGCATCCTGGCGAGACTCGCACGGAGCTAACCATCAGCCAACACTACACCTGGAAGAGGTCTGCGCAGGACTGTGCAGGCCGTATGTCAGCGTTGCCAAAGCTGCCAGATGAACAAACCCAAGACGCGTAAGCTGGATTGATGCCTCCAAAGACTTGCGAGGAGATCCCTTGGGAAAGACTATGTATTGACCTGATAGGCCCTTACAACGTCGGGGATCCCAAGAAAAAGAATTCCTGCACACTTCATTGCTTGACAATGATTGATCCGTAACCGGATGGTTCGAGATTGCAGAGATCTGCTCCAAGCAGCAGACGAAGTAGCCATCGTCCTAGAACAAACGTGGCTTACCGGTATCCATGGCCTGCTGAGGTTATCATGGATAGAGGACGCGAGTTCCGCGCAGAGGTCGAAAAGACACTCCGGGATGATATGGACTTCGTCGCAAGTTCATCACGACGCGTAACCCTCAAGCCAACTCTATGTCGAGCGTGCTCATCAAACCATACGTAACTTGATCGCTGTTCAAAAACATCAAGTGCCAAGACGACCTCGTGAATGGATCCTGGGATGGAGTCCTCACCGCGGTTCGCTTTGCAATGAATGCCACGATTCATACCACCTTGCGCGCAACGCCCGCACAGCTCTGTTCAATCGTGACGCGATTCACAACGTCCGGTTCGAAGCCAACTGGAAGTACATTAAGGAACGTCGCCAACGACTAATCCAACAAAACAACGATAGGGAAACGCACGCGTGTCCCTCATCAATACAATGTCAACATACTGTGATGATTCACAGTATCAGCACCGCAAGTACGGTCAGCCAAGTACAAAGGTCCTTACACTATAGACCGAGTCAATGACAATGGCACTGTACGGCTCCAACATGCTACCGCCAACGCGGCACAGTCTACCAGACTTGGAACATTAGTATTTACACCCATAGAAGGCTGATCCCCTTGTAGATTGACATCGTGCGACGCACATGTCTACATCCAAATCTCATGAGAGTGCCCCGCACTTTAAATCATATGTTCTCTTGTCCGACTGCTGTTGGCCTTCTGTGACCCTTGTCAGGGGGCGAATGCAATACACGGCTCTAAGCCTTATTCGCGACCATCCTAGATAGGGTTTGAGTTCACTCATGACTGAGTCTCTCGTGATAGTCATTTGAGACAGGGTTCTCAATGACCGCGCTAGTCATACTAGGTTGATGATAAACATCGCTCTAGATATTTAGCTAGCGTGGAGTACTTCCACGCTACTAGATCCAAGCTAGACAAACCTTCCCGTTCCGTTTTAGGATCGTGAAAGACGTAGGATTACACCACAACCTACTCTATCACACTTTACAGTCTCCCGCGGGAGCCAGATCTACGATCCCTTGATGATATCTCTCTCTCGTGATTAGTTTTCATAGCTTTCTAATCTCTCCTCATAACTTTCATTCTCTCAAACTCAAAACACTCGAAAGATCTTTACACTAGCTTTTAGCGTAGTGCACTTGCGGTAGACCGGTTTCTCTCCAGCACGGCGACGAATGACACAGCATCCTCCAAACATTTGGTCGGATGTTGCTTCATTCTTGTGTCCGGGTAGTTTTTTGGTGCACGTGTTGCTGGTGTGTTTGCTGTTGGGGCCAAGGCCATGCGACCAGCAATAATACATCGGGACGCCATCTGGGCTTCCTTTCGTCATGTAGCTTTTGGTAATGGGAGTTTCGACGGCCTTGTTGGCATAGCCAACTTCTTTTGTAGTGAGGATGCGACGGCGTTCTTTGTCGGCTGAAATGAAGTGCGTCTGTAGCGTTTCGAACGATTCCTGTTCCACAATTGTTTTCTTTCTCCAGTCCTTAATGCTTTCGGAACAGAGGTACGGTGAAGTACGTCACTCGGAAGAGGTACGTGTCTTGTGAGTACCGTGTGAGTGCCGGTTCGTTTGCCAGTATCCTCCAGGCACGACTGGGAAAATCGCTTCTTCCGTGAGGAAAATCGCGAAAATCGAAGATCGACAATGGCACTTCTTCCGCTATCGGCCGTCTGAACTAGGCCGATTAACAAGAAGGTGGCTGGTGTATCTTGTCAAGCACCCTTTGGTTGATAGGTGACCGTCTTGGTTGGGCTCAATCGGTCGCGATTCCAGTTTTCGGCACGATCGGGAATTCCTTGTCGATTTCCTCTTGTTCTGTCGAACTCTTCCACTCTTCCACTCTTCCACTCTTCCACTCTTCCACTCTGCGTGTAGCCACTCTTGTGTCGCTATGCGGCTATGTTAATCCTATGAGCTTTTCTTCCAGAAGGCTCAGTGTAGATACACAAGAGCTGGGATGGAGAGCTCAATCTGATGGAGATCTCCTTCCTCTGGTGGTGTTGAAGCCACTCAACCAGCACTGCTTGCAATGGTTGGTGGGGCGCTGACTACCCTGGTACAGACCATGCAGGATCTACTCTACTGCAGGGCTAGGATGTACTCTCTGGGTTCACAGGTTACTATTCATTTACTTGATTCTTCTTACTATGCTAGCTAGATAGATCAACTCAACACAACACTTCCTCGAGAGCAATCCACTGACAGGATAGTTGCTTTTGGAGAGGCAATCCTCTATACGGATCACTTCTAGAGAAGGTTTGTTGATGCCTATCATACTCAGGGTATACATGCTGTATGTCATGCATACACATGGTACCTAGGTTTGCCTCAGCAATACATACAGTGCTGGATGATAGCATTGCTGGCTGTACTCTTTGACTGTACACGGGTTTCAGCAATGATGTCATACAGCTAAGTCTGCACAGCTATGGCGCACCCAGTGGCGCTTTCATGGATCCTCTTTTGGATCTTATCGGCGTCCATGAATACCCCACTCTTGGTAAGGTTCTTGATCGCGGCACGGACTGCCATTTTGTCCGTAATGGCGTCATGGTCACGTGCAAACTTCTGCGCATCCTTGATCTGATTGTAGAGATCTTCGATGGGCTGTGTTGGGCTCCAAGCTGCATGCATTTGGTCCCAATTGTCCTCGAGGTCATCGGCATGTACTGTTCCGTAGGTAGTGTCGAGATGGGTTAGGATTGCAAGGACGGTAACTTGGGCATATCCATACATTTCATGCTTGAGAATCTTTGTGAAGGTGTCGGGGACAGCTTCCAGGAGTTGCTTCTTGAGAGCATTTTGCGTCTCTTTGTAGAATAGGAACCGTAGCTCGTGTGCTGCAAATAGACGGTTGGTTTCTGTAATTTGTGCTGCAGTTGCAGTGCCAGCATGTACGGGGTTAGGCCCTGGATGTGCAGGGTTTACCCATGCGATGGCATCTGGGAGTGCAATGAAGGTAGCTGCTGGTAGGACCAGTGCTAGGTGGCCATAATGGCCTCCTCCGAGTGTCGAAGAGATGGCCATGGCATTGGCATTGATCTCTTGGTGAAGCACTTTGAGGGTGTTGTAGTTGGGCTTGTCATCCATAGAGATGGGTGTCAGGGTTGACGTGGTGAAGTGGTCGGATGCCACGAAAGTCGCCATCTTGATGTTGACGGGGAGGGTGAACGGCAGCTATATTGCTGTTGCTCTCGGAGCGAGAGTTCGTTGGTTGGTTAAAGGATTGTTAATAACTGTTGATCCAGGCTGGGGCCCAGTGAAGAATTAGTTAGTAAAGATTTGTTATTAACAATTATGAGCTAAGTTCTTGGTGGATGTCCCTGGCTGGAGCACACAGGCCAGCTGGGGAGTGCCTACTCTAACAGCTCCTAACGGCTAGTAATTCATGCATTGCTGGCTTGCTGACATCATGATTGTGATTGGGATCTGGGATCTGGACTGCCACTTAAAGACTTAAGGGTCAGAGGTGCCAGATCAACAGATCGGATTCGATTCGATTCTCGATTCATCATTCCCCATGGTCGCATCACTCTCTCGGGAAACTTGAAGCAAACAGTGCGAGGGATGGCAGATAGCAACAGCAATATAGCAATCATTGAGGACACTAGCAGCGCAACCAATAGTACACCAAGCATCAGAGCTTCCTCTCGAAAGAACCGAGTTTATGTGTTTCGAGACTTTCTGTTGAAGACATATGGCAATCACAACAATGGCAGTGCGGATTGCCTGTTGAAACCTGGGGCTGTGATGCTGGATGTAGCCGGTGGGAAGGGTGACTTGTCATGGTTGCTCTTGAATGCCGATGGTATTGAATCCATTGTGTTGGATCCGAGGAGTTTGGCGTCCGCAAACCATTTGATTCGATCGGTCCATTGGTTGGAAGAACATCCAAAAGAAGCCAAACTACGAGCCGTTCCTAGTCGTCTCACACACCAACCACTAGCTGCTCTGGTGCCGATGATAATTGAAAAAAGGGATCAGCGACGGCAAGGCCAAATAGCTGATAGACAGGACAAAGAGTTCCTGGAGCCCCGGCATTTGCAGTTGAAACTAGATACTGCTTTGGTGGAGGCCATACGACAATCGATCCAAGAGGAAAGTGTTGCTGCTACAAATCGGCAGCATTGCCCAAGTACTTGGTTGAGATTTTGGGATGCAAACATGAAAAGTAATTGTGGGCAACAAGTGACTGCATCTGAGCCTTGTTTCTTACCGGAGAGTGAACGACATCAAGAGGTTGATGCCGAACAAACCATTCAGAATGCCTCTGAAGCCTGGGGCTTGCTGCAGAGGATTCAGCTGATAGTAGGGTTTCATCCAGACCAGGCCACTGAAGCCTGTTTGGACTTAGCCGTGTTACTCAAGGTTCCAGTCGCGATTGTGCCTTGCTGTGTTTTTCCTTCCGAATTTCCAGACCGGAGACTAGAAATAGAACAAGAGAACTATGACGGGGCTGTGACCAGGACAACGACACGGGTGCGAGACTACCATCAACTGCTTCTCTACTTACAACAGAAGCAGCCGAAACTGCGAAAAGACACGCTGGCCTTTCATCAGACTGAAACATCGCGGAATATCGTCCTCTATGCGCTTCCAGAGGAGATTTGATGTTGTTTGTACCAGCTAGTACACGTAGAGAAAAACAAACAGTCTCATCTTGCACCACGGTGCTGGAGAGATATTTCCATATCGTGACAAAACTGAATCTCTAAAGTTTATCTATGTTCGTTTTCGTCTGGCCCGCCTTTTCTTCGGAGTTGGTTCGGGTGGTGGTGGCGGCGGTTCATCTTCCTCCTCTTCACCTTCAGCGTCGGCCTCTTCGGCTTTTGACGAAGCCTTGAGGGACAACTTGATACGAAGCTTCTTCTTGGGGGCTTTCTTCTTTCCAGGAGATGGGAGTTGCTCTTCTGAGAAACCGTTTCGCTTCAGCACACGATCCAGCTCCTTTTCAAGAGCTAGAACATCTTTGACAACCCAGGAACCCTCGCCGTTGAACTTTACGGCATTGGCAATCATCAACTTCCAATCGTCCTTGTATTCGGAAAAGTGCGTGTACAGCTTCCCCCTGCACTTTCGCAAGATGTCATTGATGGCAATCGGTTTGTCAATCAGCTCGTAGTAATCGGGGAACTGCTGTGGTGCTGGCTTTTCCAGGAATAAGTCAGCCAGCCGACGTTTCGTCCCCGGCTCTTTCAATGCGACTACGGTCTTTGTGCAGCTAATGAGCTTTCGGAAGGTCCAGTCGGTGAGCTCGTTTCCGATAGCGGCGCCGGCATCTCCAGAGGGGGCAACATCTTCGTCCTCTTCGTCGCCGTCACTATCGGCTTCTGGTGCATTCACAGCGGCTTTCTTCCCTCCCTTCCTGGCTTTCTTTCGTGCGTTCTTTTCTTTTTCCTCTTCGACGGCCTTTTTGTCCATCATCCGCATGAACTGCTTCTCTGTCAAGCCATCGTCGTAAACAACAGCCTTCCTCTTTCTTGAGTTGTTGTCTACGTCATTGTCAGCATTATTCTCATACTTCTGCTTCCCACCGGGAAAGTTAATCCAGTCGGGGACATCATCTGGTGATTCAAACAGCTCTGCCTGTGGAAGGCCATCGCGAACACGTCTGTTGTCGTAATCACAATACATTTCATAGTCTCTGTCGTTGTTGCTGATAAGCTCGTTGAAATCTTCCTTTTCTTTTTCGCTTACAGCGCTATCGTCGTCCTCGTCACCGTTGTCAGATCCCGATTTTTCGGATGGCCCCTTGTTCGTCGACTGAGCGTTGGAGCTATCAAAGTCGGTAAGAAGAATCTCCATCAGCTGTTTTCGCTCCAAACTGTTGTCGCTCTCGACGCTCCCTTTGTTGAACTTTCCGGCTTCCACCACCAAAGCAGCGGTGTTGAGCTTTTCCGTGGCACGGCTAAGAATCTTCTCTTCCACAGGTGAATTCGTGCACAGTCGGAACACTGACACATCAGAGCGTTGTCCGATCCGATGAGCACGATCTACAACAAAACAAAAGCGAAAAGGAATGGTGAGAGGGCGGCCCCGCAGTTAGCATCCGTCCAACCAAACCTCGAACTACGTATAGCTCGCAACATACCTTGTGCTTGAAGGTCCATCTGAGCAACAAGAGGTAGGTCGAAGAAAAAAAGTACGTTAGTAACTGGCAGACAGGACATTTCAAGGCAAAACCAGGGTGGATAACGGACCATTGGATTCCAGTCACTGTCAAAAATCACAACAGTGTCAGCGGCAGTCAGGTTGAGCCCCAAGCCTCTGTGCCATTCAACCACACGTGAACATGTATCAAAGCACGCGTTAGTTAGTGGCTTCAAATTGTACGCGAGGCAACACACAAAGAAGATATTTACATACCCTGCCCGAGTTGACAGCAAGAAAATGAAGTATGGAGAGTCGGGGGCGTTGAACTTGTACATGCGCTTTTCGCGTTCATCGGCGGGAGTGGATCCGTCGAGCCGAAGCGACATGTATCCGCGGAGAGAAAAGTAATCTTCCAGAATTGTCATGACAGCCGTCATCTGCGTGAAGATCAAGACCCTGTGTCCAGCGGCCTTGAGTTTTGGGAGCATCTTGTCCAGCAAAGCCACTTTGGCGGAACAACGAACAATCGTGTCATTGATCTGATAACCTTCCGGAGAGAACAGCATGGGATGGTTGCAGACTTTTCGAAGCTGCATGACAACATTGTTCAGTCCGCGGCTGGGTATTGATGGCTGGGAAGATGAATCACCAGTGAGGTTGTTTGATTCCACCGCTTTGACACTAATCTGCTTGTACAACTCTTTTTGCCAGGACGAAAGCTCACAACGAAGCACCTTCTCAACCTTTTCAGGCAATTGATCCAGAACCTTACATAATTGACATCATATATCGCAAGGTGAGTCAACCTCGACACACGAGATCCAGTTCCACACAAACCCCCATGACCTACCTCTGACTTGACACGTCTCAGCATAAAAGGCCTCAGCAGCTCATGCAATCGATGAATGATAAGCATTCGCTCTTCGTTGCTCAAAAGCTCGTCGGCTTCGTCTTTTTCACCGTTGGGACCGGCATTGGCATTGCTCGATCCAAATTGCGAGAAAGGACGGCTGAACCACTGATCAAAAGTTTCCACCGAATTGAAGATGGCCGGTAACAGAAAGTTCAGCAAAGACCACAGTTCCGACAACTGATTCATCAGCGGCGTCCCCGTCAGCAAGACACGATATTCCGTATTGTAATGTGTCCCCAGAGTCACGGCAAACTTGGATTGTGCATTCTTCATCCTATGTCCCTCATCAACGATAGCATAAGTCCAGTCAATCTTGCGCAAATACTTCTTGTCCTTGATGATGTACTCGTAAGTGGTCAAAAGTACGTTGAAATGTCCCTTGCTGACTTGGTCCTTGTAGATTTCTCTGCGTACCGCCGGCGTCCCCTTGTAGCACACCAAACGGGCTGAAGGGCACCATTTGATGAATTCGTTCTGCCAATTGGAGAGAGTTGACAGAGGGACGATCACGAGGTACGGGCCCAAATTGTTCTTGAACTCCATGAGATAACCAACCAAAGAAATTGCTTGAATGGTCTTTCCCAGACCTGAACAGTGAGAAGGAAAACGCAAGGCACAAACATGGAGTGGGAGTGAGGTTCCCCTTCAAAGTCAAGTGTAACCAGTGCTAACCAACTGATGTCGTAATTACGACTGTACGTACCCATTTCGTCTGCAAGAATCCCGTTGAGCTTATTGTTGTACAGTGACACAAGCCATTGCAACCCCGCTAGCTGGTACTCCTTCAAATCACCACCGACTAAAATACTGGGTTGACGCACTTCTTCTGACTTGAAATGAGCCTTTTCGTAGTACGACGAATCCTCCTTGCTTTTTCCCGTGTTCGACTTGGCCCCATGACTACTAGTACCCCCTCGTTCGTGCAAGAGCGACGATATCTGCTGGAACGATTCTTCTGTCTTGTCCATCAAGAACTTGAGACGGTCGTTCTTGGTTTCTTCGAGCAACTTGGAGTAGGCAGTCATATCATTCGACTTCAGTGCAGCCAATCGAGCACGCTCAGCCTGCGCGGCTTCCTTCTCCTTTTGCTTCTCTTCCTTGTCCAAGGTATCTCGACAAGCCTTGGCTACCTTCAAGGCTTCCGCTTTGCGATTCTTGTGGAATTTGAAGAACTCCGACTGGTGACTCAAGAGAGCCTTGGTCCATTCCTTGTGTTGTTTGTTCATCGCGTCAGCGGCAACTTGCCGTGCTTTGCGAGCAGCTCGGTCTAACGCCTTCGCGTGCTTCTTTGGTTCGACTTTGATTCGTCGGAACTTGTTGGGATCCACCAGACGTTCCACTTTCTGTTGCTTGTTCCGAAGGCTGGCTTGCAGAAGTTTCGCTGCTTGAAGCTTGTTCTTTGATACGACAGCAACCTTTTTGGGATGCGGTCGTTTGATCGACAAAAGCGTCTTGCAAGCGCTGGTGCGGCTTGAATAGGCACTAAGCGTATTGTTCAAGACCATGAAACGACCCTTCTGGACGAAAAACGTTCCCGATTGAGCTCGCCTCCAGGGATTTTCGGGAGGTGGCGGCGGAGGAGCAGGAGCCGGCGCAGCGACGGGTCGACTGACGGGGGTGGCTGGTTTCACCTGTGTGCGCGATTGGGTCGCAGCAGGCCTGTGCTGCTGCTGTGTCGCTTGCGTGTACGGCGCCCTGGCTGCTGCTGCAGTGGTCTGAGATTGCCCCTGGTGTGGATACTGATGTTGTTGATAGGGCTGCCCGTGACGATATTGCGGATGCGCCTGAGCGGCAGTCGCTGGTTGTCCGTGACTTTGAGGCTGAGCAGCGGGCTTAGGGCGATGCTGGTATGGCTGCTGCGTTGGTGGTCGCTTTACAGGATGCGCCTGTCCGTGACTCTGAGTCTGGGATGTAGGCTGTTGAGGGCGATGCTGGTACGGCTGCGCGGCTGGTTGCCGCTGAACAGCATGCGCCTGTCCGTGACTTTGAGTTTGCGCCGTGGGCTGAGGGCGATGCTGATACGGCGGCTGCGTCGGTGGGCGTTGATGCGTCGAATGCGGCTGAGCCTGCACATGAGAATGACTGTGTGTTTGAGTGCGCACTTGTTGTCCAGCATGATGCTGTTGTTGCTGTCTTTGTATCTGCTGCTGTTGTTGCTGCCGTTGAAGCTGCTGCTGCTGTTGTTGTCTCTGGAGCTGTTGTTGTTGCTGCTGTCTCTGGAGCTGCTGCTGTTGTTGCTGTCTTTGAAGCTGTTGCTGTTGTTGCTGTCTTTGAAGCTGCTGCTGTTGTTGTCGCTGCTGCGCTTGCTGCTGTTTTAACTGCTGTTCCTTCAATTGCTGTTTTTCCTTTCTCTTTTCTGCCTCTCGTTGGCGAGCAACCTTGGCAGCATTCAGAATCGCATGACTTGGCAACCCCGTCGCCTCCGCTGCCCGTAACAAATCTGGATCAATCACGCCATCCGGATTCTTGATGGCCGACCAAATAGCTTTGGCCAAAGCTTGTTTCGCATCGGCGCTCAACACGACCTTACGCTTGGGTTGCTGCTGAGGTTGTTGACTCTGAGCTTGTTGTTGCTGCTGCTGTTGTCTTTGCTGTTGTTGTTGGAGCAACTGTTGCTGTTGAGCCTGCTGTTGGGCTCTTTGTTGCTGCTGAGCTTGCTGCTGGGCTCGTTGCTGCTGCTGCTGGGCTTGTTGTTGGGCTCTTTGTTGCTGCTGAGCCTGCTGCTGGGCTCGTTGCTGCTGCTGAGCTTGCTGTTGGGCTCGTTGCTGCTGCTGAGCTTGCTGTTGAGCAAGCTGCTGTTGCTGCAACGTTTGACCTATTCACAGATAAAACAAATACACAGTGAGATGATTAAAGATATGGGGGTATCTCGCCAAATACCCATCTTAATGATACTAAAAACAAAGACTCACCTTGAAGAGCATGACCTCCTTGTTGAGATAATGCATGATGGTGCTGTTGTCGATTTTGTTGTTGAGCATACTGCTGTTGTTGTTGTTGTTGTTGGCCACGCTGCAAATTGTGTGTGTTTGGTATCAGAGCCGGATTGCCGACCGCCACCTGTTGTAATGCCGCTCTGGACTGATTCGAGGAAGCATTTGACGCGAGACTCGTCAGCGGGTTGGGAGCTCCACTACTACCACCATTGCTCGCATGAACCACGGAACCACTACTAGGGCCCGGATTGGGAATCCCCGACAATGGATTGGGTACAGCCCAAGACCGAGAAGCTGTGGCGGCTGCCATGTGCTGAGGAGCCTGACTTTGGCCTTGTACTCGCTGTTGTTGAGTCTGACCCTGATTGTACACTTGGGAAGCCGACGCCGCCTGTCGATGTGCCACTGCCAACGCCTGAGCGGGTGTAGGGTTTACAAAGTTGACCGGAGAGCGTCTCTGCTGTTGTTGCTGCTGTTGGGCATACTGAAGCTGGAGTTGCTGATTCTGAGAAAGATGGACTTGTTGTTGCTGCTGAGAATGACCGTACTGTCCCTGCCCCGCCTGAAGAACTACATTCCCTGCTGCAGCCTGAAGATGCGCATTATTGGTCTGATTCAGCCCTCCAACCTGAAAGGAGAAAGCAACGGTTAGTAACAGCGTATCATGAATTTGGCAAAAGAAGAAACAAGAAAACGGGAGGTTTTTCGGTCGTATACCCTCGTATACCCAGTCATAAAGGTCCCAAACCCACAGATAATACCCAGAAGAGCATTATCCCAGTAGCATCATTATCCCACCGTTCAGCCACAGCATTGGCCAACATCACAAAGCGCCAAGGAATCGATTCTCAATAGAGGAAATTTATTGCGATGAAACTCACCGTGGAAGTGCCGCCCCTAGCAGCGGCAGATGCGTGACTGAGCACAGCGGCGTGGTGGGCAGCCGATGACGAACCATGGGGATGCGATCCAGAGGATGAGCCTAACGAGGAAGAGCCGTTGTGCGATGGATGAGCAGAATGTGGACGGTCCATCGCTGATGCCGAGCTTGGGATGGAGCTTGCTTGAAGAGTTGCGTAAGGAAGCAAGGGAGGCGACCGCGACCAAGATGGAGAAAAAACGAACAACCCAAAGAGTTGTTGGAAGCACTTCAGAAGTGGCACGCGGGCATTGCCCTACTCTCCTACTGAACTCACATACGAGCGTTTTCGGATGGAGGACGGACGAACGGCCAAGCAAACCGTTACCATGTGCGTCTTTTTTGTTACGTGAAAGATCGTCAGAACGTTCTTCAAATTGTGTAACTGCGTACACGTAACTGCCAGCTGTGCCTCTTCCCCTTTCCATAGCTTTCGGCTCCAGCACCTCTAGACCCAGGCCCCACAGTGGCTCTAGCTTGGAACCAGGTGCCACATGTGGTGGCCCCCAACGTTTCGTTGCATGAGCTGATTGGATTGTGGGGAGATTCTTGGGCGCCGTGAGTAAGTAGCTTGTGTCTTTCCTCTGTTGCCTAGCTAGGCTGCAGTGAGTTGGTCCGTCTCCAGGTTCCACACACCCTCCAAATCCAGGACCTACTCCAGACTCCAGACACCTGATCCCACTACTCTACTAGGGCGAGTTTTCGTTAGACTACATGTGACCAGCAATACAGCCTACCGGTACGTGTTTGAATTGCAGCAGCCCTCGCTAGCCAGCCAATTACGATTCGTACCGGATCTTGTGCTTACCTTCAGTTTATGAATCACTCTTACCATACGTAATTCTACGAGAAGCCATACACGTGGAGCCAACGGAAGGAAAATACCATCAGCTACACTACGGACCGGCAAGCCCAGCATAACAAATATATCGTTGACTGCTGCTACATGTATTCTAATTGCATGCTGCCTGCTGTGTATATTGTCGGTCGCCAATCAACCAATCATAAACACACTGTCCACTCACTATCAATAATTAATAATATCAAGTCCAATCATATCTTGTCTTGCTCTTGGTCATGCAACCGCGCCAAGGGTCTCTGCTCTATCCGCCAACCAATTCCAATGCTCCGTCCAGTCCAATCCAGGTGGACCAGACCAGGCCTGACCAAACTACACACCACCAAAACCAAACCAATCACTCCGTCATCTCTCTCATGTCGTACATGCTGCGAGTTGATCAAACCAGACAAGCCCAAGTCAGACCAAACTCAAGCAGACCATCCTCTCATCGACCCGATCCGCTTGGATCTTTCATTCATCACTGATTGTTCGCCTTCACCTGCTACTAGGCCGCCAACCTTCGCCATCGTATCGTATCGCATCGCGCCGATTTTCTTTATTTCTTGCCATCGTCAGCTTTCAAATCAGAGTCGGAACCCTTCTTCTGAAACCATAGACGAACGTGCGAAATCGTCCTTCCAAACGCCACTGATGCGTTCGACACATTGGATGTCATGGTCATCATTGTCATATCGGATTTACCCAACATACTCTTGCTGCTGGCTCCACTGGCTTCGAGTCCGGCGTCCAATGATTCGTCGTCCAGTGATGAGTTGACGCTCACTTCTTCATCGTTTTGATTCACCCGTTCCGTCTCGTCCATATCCTCCAACTCTTCCAACTTCTCTTCTCCCATCTCCTTCAAGATGCCTCGAAGCGATTCACGCGCCTCGCTCATTGTGTATCGCACACTGACCGTCTGGTTCCATCCCTTGTCGAGGAATGTTTCAATAGCCGCGGGCAAGTGGTACTTGTCCACTGGAGGACGTTCACCACCCTCACAAACGTATTCCTGATGCTCGTCACGGGTGAATTTGGCAAAGGGTTTGATTTGTGCGAGCATTTCGTAGTAGATCATGGTCATACTGTACACGTCTGCTTTGAGATTGTACTTTCGGTCAATGAAGATCTCGACAGCCATGTACCTTCGAGTACCGGCACCCGACATCATGTAGACCTTATCGCTGCCACGTGCATCTTCTTCGGGCGGAAGCTCACGACAGAGCCCAAAGTCGAAGAGTTGGATGGTGTTTTCCCCTTTGAAGCCAATGTTCTTTTTCAATGGTGAGTTGTTGCTTGCACTAGCTGGTATTACATTTGGATCCTGGCTCGCCACTACTTTAAACCACTCACCTGGGGCTTAAGATCTCGAAAGATGATTCGACGTTCGTGGAGGTACAAGAGTGCGTTGCAGATCTGCAAGGCATACGAAGTCTTCCTAGGCAAAAGTTTTTCCGGGGGCACTTTTCCATACTGATTTCTCCATTTTCCAATGCGTGAGTCGAGCACGTCGGTGAGCCTATCGGTCAAGAAGAAGAATGAATCATACTGTCCATCGGCAAAGGCACCCGGTCCATCCTTGGCCACTCCTCTTAACTTGAGGATATTGGGATGGTTCAACTTGGCCAGGTACATTCCTTCGACAATGGCGTCAGCAGCCGCCGAGTTGAAGAGCTTGGGTTTACGCAAGAGGCGCTTGCTAAGATGTTTGAGGGCGTACTTTTTGTGTTCTGCGTCTTTGGCAATCTCTTCGCGTACGTTCTGTTGTTCATCGGACATTTCGACGGAAGTTTCCGGATCGAGACCAATTTCCGCCACTTCAAAGACTTGCGCAAAACTCCCCTCACCCAAGACGTCGCCCAAGAGCAACTCATTCCGGGTTAGAATCGCCACAGGGCGAGCATTCTCTTCGTTGTTTTCCCCCATGAGGTAGTCCGCTCCTCGGGTCAAGCGCTCTACATCCTTTTCTATAATCGCCACACAGTCATGGACTCCACCCGACTGTTTCTGCTTGTTCGCTGAAGCTAGACCTCGCTTCGATGGCATACGAGACAGCGATGCTGTTCTGTTCAGAAGACCTCGTTTTGAATTCGTCTTTTCCATGGTCGGGCGCTTCATGGAACTTGCCCGTTGCAGGTTGCCCCGCGACAATTTCTTTCCAAACATGATGAAGGAAGGTTATGGGTTGATAAGGTAGGTAGAAGACTGGACTGGACAGGATGGAAATGTAATAAGGACGACAACACGAAAAAGCCACTGTCTGATGAAATGACTGTCTTCTTCCTGACGTTGGTCTGATACCCTTCTATGGACACAACCTAACTCGTTCGACTTGACTCTGTAGCTAATGCCACCACCACCTAGCAACAATGCATCAAGTGCAATGCCAATTTATGCGATGACTGTTGCCAGCAAAAACCTAATGGTTGTTGTTGTGGCTCTTCTACTACTGTACCGGTAATAGCTAGCTGGCTGGCTGATCTCAGTGGCAGCCGAGAGAGTCTCTGGGTTTTTTCGTTTTGTTGCCGTGGTAAAAGCATGAGAGGAGGCAGCCAGTCGACGCTACCAACTGATGAAGAGGATGACCCAATCGGATGACCAGACAGAGTTGGTGGGTGGATGAGCTCACTGTAGAAGATGCCGGCAAAGCTGTCATTATTGTCCAAGAGAACGGTTAGGCTTTGCAAAATGAATAGATCTCTAGCTAATAGCTACCAGCTTGGTTGTGCGATCCACACGGTGGGGATGGCCACTGGTTGGCTAATAAATGACTGGTAGGTCAGCTTTCCCGAGTCTAGATATTGAGTACAGTAGGGGAGGCTCTGCCCGGCTGGTTGCTTATGCATAGTAAAGAAAGACTCGACTCGACTCAGATGGGGTACATCGACTACGAGTTAGTCGGCTTGTAGCACAAAGCTTGCTACGTTACAAATACATTGGCAGTTGTCCGATCCAAGGTTTCCCGGACCTTCCGGGGCCGTAGTGCAAATCATTCTTCTGATCTGGTTTCAAAGTCGAGTCACTCTGGCAAGTCCAATACTGGCCCATCATGAGCAATTCGAAGCTTGCGTACACCGGATCCATTCCCTGATACGATACCGCCAAGGGGGGAGAGGGAAAGACGAAACAGGTCCATTTGGCTGAAAGACGGCCCGGGTCCCGGCTAGAATGGTTTGCAAAGAGTGGCCCACTAAGCCCCATGATCGCTACGAAACTATCCAGGCTGTTTTCATTCAGATAGTTGGCTACGTACCGGTACGTCTAACTCATGATCCACTCCAGCATTGCAATGGACTACAGTAAGACGAAAACTAGCAATCTGGCCAAATGGATTTGAACACAAACTTATAATTCAGGAAACAAGACTTGTTTTGCAGAGTCCAGCTATACAGTAGATACCGTAGCTGGCTGAGATAGGGCACCGAAACTGTGCCAGTCGCGCTTGACCTTCTTGAGCGGGGAGACCAATCACCAAATCAAATGATGATATTTTACGGTGGCGTACCACCACAAGCTTCGGACGCACAAGCTAGTTCGGTTTGGCTGGTGGCCAGTGGGCAACCTGTGAAAACACAACTTTATCCGCGACGTCAGTGCCCCTGATTAGTGCATGTGCGTCCTTCGTTAGATCATAGAAGGCGTGCGGGTGGTCAGGGTCTGTCCAGTCCAACATCTCCTCGTCGATGTCGTCAACGCAGCAAGCCAGTAGAGGATACGAAAACACTGGAGACTCCACCTGGGGCTACGGTACAGAAAGTGTATCAGAAAAAAGAGATGAGACAAGGAATCGGAGCGATACACAAGACAAGCGTACCCCTCTTTGCCGAACTTACAATATAGATATTGGCGGATTCCAGGTCTGAGAAGTTCTGCTGTTGGTCATCGCCTGTAGGCTGCATGCAGTCACGTTGACCAGAAGCATAAGAAAAGGGCAATGCAACGAAAGCCAAAGGCAAGAAACCGATATCCTGTGCAAAACTTACATCATATGAACCGTAAAAGTACCCGGCAAACCACGCCAGCGTGTTGTAGATGATGAGAAGAAAGTAAGCAATGATAAACCCACAGGCTGTCCAACCATAAACCAATGTCACTTGTTCTTGCTCCTCCGTCATCCACACATCGCCGATTGCATCCATCTGCCAATCTGGGATGAATGGAAAGTAAATGCCTTGAGCGCTAATCAAATTCTGGTTGCAGTAGCGGTAGGTGGTAGCGTTTGGTTCGATCTTTATTGTCACATTCTCCCTGATACCTCTTAGAACGGTGCTTGAAATAAGATTCGCCACTGCAGAGCAACGAAAAAAAAGGTGAGTCGAGCAGGACAACGCGTCGATCAACCGGCTGGTAGACTTACAGGTTTCCTGTTCATACTGTGGTACTCTGTGAGTACCCACGAGGAGTTCGGGAACCTGAGAGCCCTCGTCTTCGCACAAGTTGTCAAAAGGGAAGCCTGCCCAATAATATGAGGACATTATTGCCATGGCTACAATACACATAGCAATGACATGGGTCCCAATGGAAATGAGTTGGCAACACTTATCAGAGGTGACAGCGGGCATCAGCAAGCAAGCAAGAAACGAACTTACCAAGAATGGAGAGCGGGAGAAAGTAGTTTCGGTTGAATTGACTGATGGTGGCTCCTAGCTTTGGGACTCGCTTCCAGGTTCGACTGCCATAGAGCAACAACGGAGTTAGACTACGGGAAGGCATGGAAAAACTTCTGTCCCCCTACCATTCATTTCAACTCACGTCAAACTCAGCTTGTCCAAGTAATAGATGACTTGCAATGCAAAAGCACACAAAAAGAAAGACCCGGGGAAAAGGGAGCAGTACCTGTTTGTTTGTGGTGGAACAAAACGGCGATACATAGAGATGAGAACACACTAGAGCTTCTTTGTCAATTCTGGTTTGCTCCTTACCAGAATGTCAGGAAAAGCAGTTTCGCAACCGCGGTGTACCTCTCGGCGAGCTCAAACTTGCTGCCTTGCATGTTCAAATTCATTGCATCTTGGGTAGACGCTCGGGGAGCAAGGAAGTGCCGTTGGAGGTGGCCAACAGGGTCGGTCAACTGAATCGCAGATGCTGTCAAGATTTCGGCGAAAAATTGGGCATAGATCTGGATCATCATGTACAAACAAGTCGTGAGGGCCACAACAACAGTGAAGGCGAGATGACGGAACCTGGTAACGAAACGAAACCAACCTGTTGAATCAGCCCTTGATTCGTGGCGAAGAGTAGGGTATCCTCGAAGGGAGTAATCAGAGCAATGATAATGGCTTTGGTAGACGCGAATGGAGCGAATGTTAGAAAGTTCCCTCGGGAGGAATGAAGGTACAGTGACTGGCAATCCGGTCCATTCTACGCTCACCTGTAGTCACCCAGCGAAAGACAGCGATTTTGAAGTATAAACTCGTTTGAAGTGATCCATGGCTTGGATGTGCCTCGCTGTAAGTTAGCGCCTTTGCAAATATTGGGAACACTTGGGTGTGGCAGGAGTGAGTGTGTGAATATGTAGTGGAGTATATAACTTGAAGACGTGTTTCCGTGAGTGCACATACCTGAGTTGGCTACGGCAATCGCAATCGAGGTCCCTGCAGTAGACCATTCATTGACGAGAGATACCAGGAACGCTACCAAAGCAAGAGCAGCGACAGTGGCGAGAGCCGTAAAGGATTGTTGTTTGACGCGATCTTTTAGCGTTACATTCAGATCTTCCCACCGGATCGAGTCTGGTTCTTCCGGTTCCTGAACAGACAAAACTCGGAATCCTCTTTGATTTGCAAAACGGGTGTGAGCACAATGTCCAGCTGTAGCTATCGTACAGCATTGTAAACGGTACATACCTGAAGAGGTACTTGGCATCTCCAACAGATGATGTGCGATTTCCGTCGATTGCAGCTTGGCCCACTGTGAGTTTTTCGAGAACCCTTCGTTGGCCAGCCTCTGTCTCAAATGTGATAAACACATTAGTCACAGGATAATCTTGTTGTGCAAGACCCTGTACTTTTGCGGTCAAAACAGCCAAGCGCGAAAAGATTTCTGGAATTCCTGGCGCTACGATGGCAAGCATGTTTTGGAAGAAAGTTCGACTCCGTTCCACGGACGCTGCAATACCCGCCAGTGTCACAATGTCCAAACTGGTTCCGGGCTCCACCATGAGCTCCAAGATTCTCATTTTCTCTCTTCGTTCCACCAGGGTTTGTACGAGAAGATCATTGTCGACGGCCACGGTACATCCTGTGACGTGTGCATCAAATGCTCGTTTGAAGTATTCCTGCCATTCTTTCGGGTCAGTGGCATCCCCTGGGGGGTTGTCTATCACGATCGAATAATCCTGTGCTGTCTGTTCGTCTTCATCGAATTGGACTTCCATATTTGAGAGGTATCGGCTGAGTACAAGGGATGCTAGAACAATGAACATCAAACAGGCGTAGTTGGTGCTGCCAGTTTCGAGAGTCGCCCCTTCACATAGATTCTTGAGCGCAAATGTAGCATTTAGCTCTGGGGAAAAGAGAAAGGAGTCTTCGCTGAACTTGTCATCTGTACAGGTCGGGCAGGCGACCCATTGGTTGTGGGTACAAACGGCGGACCCTTTCAGCAGACTGTCCACCGTTGCTTGTCCGTTGCTGTAGTCTTCCGAGGCAAAGTACAAGATATTGGGCAAATGAATGAAACCAGCGATCAGCACCACAAACGTGAGAGCTCGCACGGTACTAAAGTACAATCCAATTCCAAGCCCAAAATCCCCCAACTGTTTGTGTGGAGTAAAGATGGGACTGTAAAGGCGGGTCGGCAAATCGTCTTCTCCTGGCTCGGCTCGTTGCAATTGTTTGTTGGCTTTGCTGAATTTTCGAATGATGCGAGTGAACATTCCCTTCTGTTCCTGATTTTCCTTTTCTTCAAACAGGTACCGAGGCAGTGCTACATGGTCAAAGTAAGCCCAAGCCTTTTCCAGGGATGGAGTTTCTTCCTTTGTGAATTTGATGGGATATCCGTCTTGAGTGCGGTAATGGCCTTCATCCAAAACGAAATCTGCACCAGATCTGTCGACGTCGTTGTTCAAGTTGGGATTGTACCAAGCGAATCGCTTCATCATCCACAAGGCAATCCGTCGTCCATTTGTCATGTCAGCTGGATCATCTTTCAAAAAATCAATATGAGGTTCCTTTTCCTCGACAGCAACCACATTGACTGGTTCTTTGGTACTGGCTTTGTTGTAGTGTCCAGAATTATCTCCAGATCGCCTCACGTCATACTTGCCCTCTACTCCACCAGGAGGCACGCCATCGATGATTTCTAGAGACTGCAGGAGAAAATAGGAGATTCGTGAGAGAAGATTCAGCAACTTTCAACACCATTTTTTACCGAAATCTTACATAGTTCTTCAAAGGAATACAGCCAGCATCACTGGGTCGTCGTCGCGGTGGGTTGGGCGGAAGCCTGATCTGTGAGGAGGACGTTCCTACAGTGCTACCAGTTCCAGTTGCAGCGATCTCTCCCATGCTGGACTTGGCATCGTAAAAGACGGCGGATTTCTCGGAGAGTGTGTCCTCGAGGCTTGGCGAAATGGCCACCTCAGGTGCAGTTTCTACTACTTCTTCCATGGTGACGGTCACTTCATCGTCTAGGCGCTCGCTCGGCTCAAACGTACCATTGCCGATGCGTCGCCCAAGCGACACGTCCATGGAATCTCGCTCTACTACCATCGTCCTTCTTCGCTTCTTCCACAAGGCGCAACAGGCGCTGATGATGGATGATGGAGCCGTCGAGTGAAAATCTTCTTGACACGGAAGTGACAAAAAAACGATTCCCGCGAAGTCTGGACTGCCAGGCGACCAGATTTCAATCTCCTCCCTTCGAAGTAAGATATCTCTGATAAACCGTGAGGTCGAAATTGGATCTTGTGTTTGGTTCCTGCAGCTTGACTACAAGCATCACTCAAGTGACGGGGAAAAGGGTAGCCATACTGTAGGTCAGATATGGCCTGGTCCCAGGCCAATGCTTGGGTGAAGGACTAGGAGTGAGCCTGGGGTTGGTCCACCAGCAGGGCTACAATATGGATGTCTTCAGTGGACCTGAAGTGGAGCTGTGAGTTTCTCGGGAAAAGTTTAATGGGTTAGAAAGGCAGAATGACAATCGTAAACCCTGTAGTGGTGCTTCCTTTTCTCAATAAGGTCGTCTCGCCAGTCTCATCGCTTTCTCTTTTGCCCAGTCCCTCCTCTAAAAGCAAGCCAAGAACGAAGCCCCTCACGCGAGTGCGATCTCTACATCTAGTAGCGTGACTGTTTGGGATCCATGAGCTCTGGTTGGAGAGAGCACAATCTACCTGTACTATGGCACGGAGGCTGCCGTGATCACTAGCTAGCCTATCAACAAAGCGAGTGCTACCGGCAGTTGGGTCTTTGAGAACTGGAAACCTTGGTCTCGTTGTGGGTATTCCATTATTCACCCATCCCTTCCAGTAATTCCTAGTAATCAACCAGCTTTGCATAACTACGGTAGCTACCAAGCATGTGGCAACCCAGAGCATCGTGGGCAGCGTGCCAAGTTAGTTCAACAGCCATACCAGCTTCATTCCAAGACGTATCAAGTTGCTTGGCCGAGGGCGAAGACTGTCACCGCAGCCGAAGTACTCTACCGGCACCGGTACGAGCAGCGGTGCCTTGTACTGGAGCAAAGCTTGCTCGTCGGATTCGCAGAAACTGTCGCAATAAGACTTCTGTGTTCGACTGATCATAGGTCGGACCGGACCAAGCACGGTCGTTGCGGAGGCAAAGCCAGGACTGGAAATCAGGCGCTGCAAAAAGCCGTGCGTCCCACGAAAGACACCTCACTTGCTCTCAATCACATTGCGTCTCTTGTGGGGTCAGCAAGGTCTGCGTCTTCTGCAGTATCCTCCTCGATGGCGTCGGCTTTCATATTCGAGCAATCAACCGAGTCATCGTTTTCATCCGAAAATCCCTCATCCACTCTAGCACTAACATCGTGTTCCTGCGTGGCGGGTTCTCGAGACGAATCGAGCTCGTCAGTTGTCTCCACAGCAACTCTGGGCTGCTTCTCCTTCCTGATTCCGGCTTCTTGCGGGGCACATTCAACGATGTCCTTTTCAGGCAATTGTTCGGCAGGGGAGTCACCATTACAGCTTGAGTCATTGGCACAATCTCCCTCTGTGGCAACGGCAGCCTTTGCATTGACATCGTTGTCGTGTTTTTCGGAGACGCATTCCTCCTCAAAGTCGGCAGATGTTTCCTCCATTATTGACGTTCTGCCAAACCGAGCATCCGCGACATCCGCGGATGCCTCCGAAACGCCTGAGAACCGAACCATCCTGTCTCTTTCTCCCTTGCTCGACCTGTCCCCCAGGAAGGCAGACTCCAATTCCGAGCTGACTTTGCTGACATTTGAGACCCCGGAGATGCCCGAAATCTGCACGCCCTGTGAAGCCCCGCGAGTGCTGCTCTTCACGCCACTGTTTCTCGTATTGACAGCGATGGTGTCGTTGTAGTAAGCCTGATACTTTGGATACATGATGAAAGTAACTGTTGAAGCTGGAAAAGTCCAAATCAGCAAGATCAAACCCATGTATCGACCTTCGGTTGAGATGCCTCTGAGGATGACAACCAACGGAATTGATACCATGATCACTTGGATCTGGACAACGATGAGGATAAAGATCCAAGAAGATTCCGTGAAAGTTTCGTCCACGTCCTTTGTTTTCCAAGCCATGACGCACGTCAGGAGCGTCGGTATGGACATCACGATCATAAGCAGTGGCACATATATCCACATCGAATCAGAGTCGCATTGACCAATGCTTTCGCCCGAATATTTGTCCACTTCATCTCGCTGCCAAGCCAACGGGTCATGAATCGTCCACGCAGCAAGGACTACGATGGTTGCACAAAGCAGCGCGACCATGGGCCCTATGACGGCACTGGCGTTGATCTTCCGTCGAGTGAATTGGAGGACTTTATTCACTCTCCTGCACACGTTGCACAAGCAAATAAAGATGAGGAATCAATCAACGAATGACGACGTTGATTTGCTGGAGACGTGTCTCCTTCCGCCGCCACTTACCAAAGCTTGCATCCCAGAGCACCATAGGTGATGATGTGGCCCATACAAAACAACCATGGAGTTGCCACGCAAGCACTGCTCAATGCTGCCTCGTCCCAACCATAACTTTCGTCCCATGACACAGTACAAATGGCGAGCGATGAGGTAGCCGCACCAATCAGCACCAAACATAGGAAGCCTGGCTGGGATGCTCTCACAATTCGATGCGAGCGATTCACAGCCACAAACGCCAGCGAGACGGCACAAGCAAATAGGCAAATGCTCATAAGCGTGAATCCAACAATGCGCAGTTGCTGGGGCAGGTAATTTTGTTCCGGTACATCCCGAAGCAGATGTGGTGGTTCTGTGCGTCCGCTGGCGTAACGAAGGGCGGGCCCAACCTTGGTCCAATTTCCTTCGTAGGTTTCATAGGGACCCATTAGACCCGTGACGATTTCCGTCAGCACAAAGGCTTCTTCAAAGCTCGAGTATTTGTCTGGATCGGGAATTGTCGCGTCTCCGGACGGTGGATACAAATTATATATTCCGTACACGTTGGTAGCCGGGTACCGTACTTGTGCTTTTTTATTTGCTGGGTCCCCGAACTTTACGTGTCCCGATGCCCCCGTGAAATCTAGCTTTCGAATAGCGTCCAAATGCAACGTGCTATTGACACTGTCCGTTTCCGATTGTTTTCGCGCCTTGCAAGCCCCCAGCCCAATCGCTTGGATGGCATCGTATAATCTCGCGGCTCCAGATTCTGGGCCATACGTTTGAAAATAGGCCGAACCAATAAGGGGATCCTTTTCGATTGCTTGTAGAGTGTTGAGTGTGTAGGCTTGATTGACTCGGTCTACAAAATCTGCAGTTTGATTTTTCCATGCCCGCAAAAAGGGATCTTCATTGCCCAAATAATGAAAGCCCTCGACTTCCAGAATGAGGGTAGCACCGCGGAGAAATTTGACCACGTTTTCATAAGACGGAAGGTTTGTCAATCGTTCGGAGAATCGAATGAGGTTGTGAATTGCCTGTGTTTCCAGCGACGGGAGAAGGATCCAGACGTAATCTCCATTGAGCATTCCTAGCTCTGCAGCGGCATCAGCAATTTCTGGGAGTTCCAAAATGTAGGCATCCAAGGAGATTAGTATAGTTCGAAATCCACGTTTTCGGACCCGCTCCATTTGATCGGATATGGATCGTTCTAGGTCTTCGTCGGAAAAGAAGGGCGACAAGTACCCAAACAACTCCCAGTGTTCAATATTATAATTGTTGAGGATAACTCCAAAGGATTGTGCTGCCTGCACTCCAAAGTCCGTGATGGGATGCATGTAAGCAATATAATTGTCGCGTTTGATTCTCTTCAACAAGGAAACACCGGCCTGTGCTATTCCAATAATATCTGGACTAATGTTGGTTGTCATGGGAGCAGTAGTCGCCAAGGCCAAGCGAACATTGTAACCACGAGAGGGGATGTGCGGCACCTGAGCAGCCGCGGCTATCGTAGCAATATTTTGTGCGGGAAGGTCAAAGTAGGGTCCCGCCAATGCACAGGGATTTGCGAAACCCAGTCGAGACAACCCCACTACCAATCGGTTTCCCAAATGTCCCATGACTCCCGTGTCGAGAAACATGGTGCCATTGATATTGAAATGCACAGGGCAATCCGTCAGGGTTTCCAGTTCGGGAGTAATACGGCCGTTTCTCGCGTTGAAATCTTCCATGGCCATGAGAGCAGCCGCCAAGTGATTGTATCCCATGCTGTATTGGAGGGATCTAGTAAAGATACCTGTACTCACGGGTGGCATGACTCCCCTGTAAAAAAAAAGGAGATCGAACAGAAAGAACAGAAAGCAAAGTCAGGACAACATACATCAGACTGGTACATGGAGGTATCCCAACCAAACAAAATCACTAATCTTACGTTCTATCCAAGTTGACAGAGAAAGGAAGCAGGACGTTCAGGGCACAAGCACCATTGGAAGGTACGAGTGCTCCTGTCAAGGTGCTTTCAGAGAGAAGGAAGACCCATAGTACATGGAGTACCATGGGTATACGGGCACAACCACGAAGGCCAAGCGGGGAAAATAGCGTCTCATCACCACCTCCCCTCATTGTTGGAGGGATGGATAGATACTAGTAGCCAAAACCAACACAGCCACCGAGTGCGATCACTGAGAATTCTTTCTAACTTCGTTTCTCTGGGCATCCGTTGCGCTTTTGTCGAGAGGGACGGTTGTTCTCTTGGAGTGTCGACGCTGTGGACGCTGTGGGTTCAGAATTAAAATTGATTTGCTTCTTCGAGTATTAATAGTCGTATGCAGGTTTCAATCTTGCATCCTTCCGAATGACCCGAGTGACCTCCTGTTCCAACGCAAATCTGCAGAGATTTAACATGAGCCCTTGAGCTTTCTTTTTACCACGTGACATATGCCTGTCGAGAAGAGGTGTGGTTATGGCATCTCTTTTAGTTTCCTTGCCGTCAGCGTTTCCCATGATCCCCTGCGACGCCCTTTAGAATGAGGGACCCATGCGAGATGAACAGGCCTTCCTGAGCTCCTCCCTGATGACTTCTACCCAAGACTACAGTCTGGGATTTTCCACATGGCGGCTGCCCTCTTGGCCATGGAAGACTTTAATAATCGGGACAATCGCATTGTCAAGGAAATGGAAGCACTGACACAAAATTGTACCGTTCAATTTGACCTCAGTCAAAGCATGTTTGTGGATACCAGCGCCTTGGCACATTCGGGGTCCACTATGGTCATGGATCAAGTCAAACGAGGGGAAGCCTTTCCCTGTGCCTTTGCGGGACCCTACTTTGACCTTCCCGCACAAAGCATTGCGTCCATGGCCGCCGCCTTAACGATACCTCACAATCCCCATCGTGGCTACAACTACAGATTAAGTGATTCCATGTACAGCCCCTTCACCAGCATGGCCTTTCCAGACATGGCCATCATGGCCATGCTTTGGGCAAGTATCTACTTCATGTGGAACGAAACAATTACATTGCCATTCTGCACACACAAATGACGGATGTGGGGGTACAGCGGGCCGAAGCGCTGGGGATAGGCTTGGAAACCTCGGGCAAAGTAGAGGTTTGGGAAGCATTCTCCATGGCGACGCCTAAATGGTACATGAGACCACCCAACCGGGAACCACTTGATGTGCTGAGACGAATCTACGAACGGGGATTTCGAACGATTGTGGTGACAATGGAATACTTCTATCTGGAATTACCCGCTATTGCCGATGCCGCGGAGGCACTGGGCATGAACGACGGGGAGTACGTGTGGGTTTTCACTGCAACCTTTGAAATGGAGGCCATTTACCATCTACAGCAAATGTCATCCGAAGAGTTGAAGAAACTAGGATTGGATTCCTTTGCCAATGTCACCAAGCTTCTAGCAGGTTCGGCCCTGATACAACCTGTGGAACCGCACCAGTATCGTGGACAAGATTCGGATCCTTTTTGGCATCACTGGCACAACCAAAACATATCCTTTGTGGAACGCCTCAATGAACTCTATGTCAACAATACGCATCACTACGACGACAACATGATGGATAAACCTGCCGAAGAAGATTTCTTTCAAACCCACAGACCTCAGACTGGAACCGCATATTTGTACGATGCTGTCATGGCGATTGGAATTGGAGCCTGTGCGGCCCAGCAGGAGGCCGGTGGCAGTGCCGTAGAAGGAGCAAGACATCTCAAGGGTATTCAAAAGGCCAACTTTTCGGGTGCCACTGGAATGGTCGCCTTTGATTTCACTAGAGGCTTTCGGAATACACGCTACGCCGAGACTACCACCTTGGGAGTCTTCAACTTGTATCCTCCTGGACAAGATGACCCAGGTAACAACAACCACGACATGGCTAGTCGAAGCTTTGACGAAGCGTTCGTGTTGACCGAGACAATCCAGGCGATAACAGGGCCTGGGGGACAAGAAAAGATTTACGGCCAACGAAAGAATGCAACGTGGACGCAAGTGGGACCAGAGTTCGTCTTTGCCAGTGGCAAAACTACACCTCCGCTTTTGCTCAGGGATCTGCCCGAACAAAACTACCTATCCAAAAGCTTGCACACCACGGGCCTTACTCTCATGTCTATTGCCTTGGTAGCATGCGGGGGGTCGATTGTATGGATCTTTTGCCATTGGAACAGTCGCATAGTGAAAGCATCCCAACCGCACTTCCTTTGCTTGGTCTTGTTTGGTTGTATGGTTGCCTCCTTTGCCATCTTTGTCATTTCTTGGGATGAAAGCTACGGTTGGACCGTGGAGCAGCTGGACAAGGCATGTATGGCAATCCCTTGGCTGTTCGCGATGGGATTTATCATCACTTACGGAGCTTGTTCGCAAAGGTAAGCCCCGAACGGTACCGTATGAGTGAGTGCGAGCGAAATGGCATGAAGAAAACTCATGATTGTAGCACTCTGTGTGGTGCAGCTTTGGAGGATACACAAAGTCTTGCAGTTCCGACGGCGCAAAATTGATGCGAACCATGTTGCTGGCCCAATGTTTGTCCTGCTTGCAATGGCCATTATCCTTCTCACTGTGTGGACAATTGACCATCCCGTAACGTGGGAGAGGGTGGAAGTGAACGAGATCACAGGAGAGAGCATTGGGCAATGCTCTTTTGGAGACAATAGAATCGCCGCGGGTCTTTTGGCGTCGTTGAAACTCTGCACTGCGGCCCTAACATGTCTGATGGCTTGGAAAACAAGAGACATTGAAGATATCTATTCCGAATCATCCTGGATCTTTACTTTGCTTGTTTTGCACGTCCAAATCGTTGCCCTTGGAATTCCTATTGGAGTTATCCTCTACAACGTATCAACGGATGGATTCTATCTTGGCCTGACAATGATGTTTTGGTCGTTCCCAATCACAGTGTTTGGTTTGCTTATGGTTCCAAAAATGGTATTGCACTACCGAGGCGACCTGGGTCCCACGGTGAAGAGGGGTGGTAGCAGAGGCGTTCAAGTATCGGGCGTATCAGTGGCTGCAGCTTCGCACGAGACGAATACCAGCCTGGGAATGGGTGACCTTACACATGGAAGTTCGCAGCCCCACGCAAGCAGAAACTCCTCGATGTGCAGATCGTCCGTGATGGACATTGTCTTCAACAGAAGCAGTCCCAACGTTCAACGGGCAACTGGCAATTTGGTGCAGCAGGGCAGCGAAGACGACAACGAGGACCCTTCCTTTGATGGTGATCATCAAAAGACAACAGAAAAGGAGGGTGATGAACCTTCATGTCATGGAGATCAATGAGGTAGAGAAATTATGCATCTCTGCGGGGCCCAACACATGCATGCTCTGCACGTGTGCACGTGTGCGCGTCTCTCAGTGCTAGGGGATACCAGGGATCATCAGCTAGAACCAACCCATCTTCGAGAGAAGGTCGGTATTCAGTCGATCGAATGCAGACCTTCGAGCAGTCGTTGATCAACAGGGGCGAAAATAAGCTCCCACTTCCTCGTTTGGGCTACCGAATGCCCTGACTTCAGGGCATCCAGAGAAGGCAAAAGGTTTCCATGCCAAAGCTAGCCTTCGAAGCGAAGTCAGACAACAATATAGGTTGCTGCTACCGGTACGATGCAAAGTTGGTTCAATGAAGCTCCCAAATTTCGCGGTTTGGCTGGATTCTAGCTAGAGTTTTGGCAAAGTTAAGCACCTACTTCAACGTTGAATCATTCGTTTACATGTACCCCCGCCCTTGCCCCTTGCCGTACAATCGAGGAGGATTGACAGTATACCGGTAGTTGACATGACAGAGAAGATCCGAGGATTGAAATTTCAAGGGAAGAAATGGATCAGATCGAACAAGGGATTGATTGGTCATTTTAGTGTTTAATCTTCGTTTTTTTCGTCCATGGCTCGCAGCTGATTGTCCATTTTTCGTCTCATTTCTTCCATGCGATCTGTATCCGTCTTGGTAGTTTCTTTGTATTCTTGCCATTCTAAAGCATTCCTTGCTTTCTCCAGAGCCTCATTGGCAACTTCAGAAGAATCAATCCTTTCTCCCTTGGTTTTGACAGCGATGGGAGCTTTTTCGTCTGCAGCATCATCTTCAGGAGGAGCTCGCATCACACCCAACACAGAATTGGCAACCGGAGATCCCAATAAAATGTCAACTATTACCAACAGCGACACTGCCAATGGAACATATTGGCGCCAAGACTCCTCTGCCAGCACAATGGAGCTTGAGGTTGGAGAAGATAAAATTGTCGTTGCTGAAGTGGATTGTAGCAGTTCATTGGCAGGGACCAGGCCAAGTGACAAAGATGACACTTGGCGTGGTGGTTGGCAAATCTTGGTATTAATACATCCTGGCCTGACGAACGCCGAAACCAGATCCAATTGGTATGCCAACACCAACAGCGTATAAGAGAAGATCTTTGGGGCCATCGTTGTTATGATTGAAGCCAACAAGCAGTACGACTGTAGTCAGAAATGATGAGGATTGAAGTTGATTTGAAGCAGGTTGGGGAATCTTCGTGCTTCATCGGGTTTCTTTGTGGCTGCATTTGTGTGACGTCAGTGGTGTCAACTCAGTCACAGATGGGCTGACTCGACTCGACTCCCACGAGATTCTCCACGGCGTGGAAAGCAAGAACCGGTGTGATCTTGCTGGTTCTGGCTCTTTTTGCGTGCTTGTTTGAAGCGTTCTCGTTTCGGTTGATCTCGCACGGTAGAAGCCCAGCAGTTGGATCGGTCGTCTCTTCCAGATCACAAATTCCACAGGAGAAAAGATAAAACACAAGGACAAGCAAACAATGGACGCCTCAAGTGATGCCAGACTCGCCGAACAAAGTGCCCGCAGGGGCGCTGGACATGGTGTCGTGAATTCTCCCAACATTCTTCGATCGTCTCGATCCATGGAACATCGCTCTCTTCCCGACGCCCAGTTGAGGCTCTTTCCCACGTACGAGGACGAAGATGATCGCCTGCAAACACTCCATGAACAACCACAAAATGAGCAAACTTTGGCGTCTCCAGTGACCGAGAAGAAGCCCCTCGCACTTCAGGTAGCTACGCAGCTCTCAGGACGGGACATCATGGCAGATCTACAGTACACAGAACGAAAACAAGCAGAACGCAACCATATCATCATGCTGAACTTATGATAACTGACGCGATTGGAAGTTCCAGCGCTTGCCGCTTGCACAGTTCTCAGAGAATTTTGAAACAAAGAAAGTTGCCCCGATAAACCATTTGCATAAAAAACATAGAGATACACAACAAATCAATCATACGGTATCCGCACTATATGCAGCCAAGCATATTGCTAGCTAGCTAAGGAAGAAGCCCTTGACAATCGTTTCGCACCTTCAACTGGCCCACCAAACAATCTAAGTCGCCCTCACCCACGATCTTTCTACATGATACCAGGTAGCTGACCCATCGGAAGAGAACGCAGTGGGTGTGGTTTCGCCATGGTTGAACAGAAATGTCCCAAACAATGCCGACAAATGCAACCGTCCAGATTTCCACTCTGAGTATTCGAATGCAAAATAGTATAGTTCTTCCATGGATCCAGAGTCATCCTTATTTCGAAATTAGCTGGCGACTTGACGACAGCTCCCTGCGTTCAATCGAAGCTGGTAGTCAAGGCTTACCGGTACCAGAGGTCAAAGCGCAAATGCAATACAGGTATTCCATGCACCCAACGAGCTCTTGTACCGGAGGCCGTGACTGTGCCTACTCCCTCTACAGTAATGAATGAGCCGAGGGTGAAATGAAAGGTAAACAGTGGTTGATTGGACCTAGGAACAGCTGTGGGGTGTGGTATGCATAATGCAATGACGGCATTTCGATTTAGTAAATCATTCCTGCTAAGTATTAATTACACTCTTGATTTGGCGTCTCACTACTTCTGCAGATGAGGCTTCGACATGCTCCCCCGCAAGTTTAGAGTACAACGTTGGAACCTCCACCTTCCCCCAGCAAGTAGAACAGACTGTCCAAGTCATGGCTGTGGCATGCCAATGCGTTGAGCCAGACAGACGCATTGGCAGGGCTGTCCAATAGAGCTCGCCGGGTACCACATTTGTTCAGATAGCACAAGAACTCAATCTGCCATTGAAGACTCTTGTTGGTCGTGTCCAAAAGAACCTTTTGCAACCGGAGGTTATGTTGTAGCATTGTGACCAACGACGCATATCCCTGATGCGTCAGTTTGGTGCCACAATTGCGCAAGGTCAAACTCTCGAGGCAACTGGAACTTTGGTTGGAAGAAAGAACTCGGGCCATGCCCTGGAGTGCTTCATCGGTCAGTTCCACGTTCCACAAACTGAGTTCCTTCAATTGAGAATGCCGGCACAACGCCGCCAAGGAATCGGGCTTGGCCACTACAGTAGTAGTGTTGATGTTGGAGTCGTTGGAAGCGGAGATGCGGAGTGACTCGATGCGTGGGTTTTGCGCAATGGCATGGAGCAGTGGATCCAGCGTAATAAAGGCGGAATCCAATGATGATGATGACATAGTTATTTGAAGATTGTCCAGGGCGAGTTTTGTGAGGGATGAATGCTGGAGAATGGCTTGGGCCAATTGAAGCACTTCTTTGTGGCTATTGATTTGCAGATTGCTAAGGGTCAATGCCTGCAGTCGTTGGGCTTTGTTGAGAACACTAGTCAACACAGGCACTGTCAAGCACTGTGACGACCACACCGTAAAGCTCTGCAGCAGAGGGAATTGTGCAATGGCATCATAGAGACAGCTCATTTCCTCACTGGAGAATCTCGACAGGATGTTGTAAATGGAGATTTCTTGAAGATCGCGTTGACCGCGAACCGTCTCGAGTAACTCGCCAAACCGGAGTTCCAGATTGCTTTCTGTGAGCCACAGATGGGGTCGGGCGTCTTGGATCAAAACTCCATTGATGGCGGGGTTGCTGCTTTCAGAGGCTTCCTGTTGAGAGTTGGCTACAGCAGGAGAAGACTGGCGTTTCCAATTGCACCGTCTGGGACGTCTTCTTGCTGGAAGTGTTGCGTTGATCACGGCGCGAGAAGGGGCCATTGTGTGAGATTATTTGGATTTGTTTCTTTTCTATAGATTGTTTTTTGATTTGCTGGACAACAATGTTATGGAAGGAGTAAGGGATCAATGGATAGTCTAATTGTGTTGGGGAACATATATATAATATGAGTGGGAAGCTGTAGAACGATTGTTGAAGAAAAGTGCTGATGCCCTCCGATCACTCCTGATCGAAAGCGAAGACACCTGGGGCTCCCGAAACAACTGTGTTCCTATGGCCACAGCCACCAAGGAGACAACATCTGTTTGAAGGCAGAACAGTCCAGCATACTCCTTCTTCTTCTTCGACGGTCCTCTAAGTTGTGAGCCAAAGAGTGGGAAGATTGCGACCGATCGCGAAAGAAGAGTGGAAGCCGAACTCGTTCGATTTGAATCGAATTGAATCGAATCAATCGATTCGAATGATTCGATTCGAATATTATTTTGCTTGCTTGTAACCTCGGCCTTTAGAAGCATTCAGTCTCAGGGGCACTGGCCTGGCCGTATGGCTCCTAAAAACTCCTTTTTTAGTTACTCTGGAGCTACCGGTAGGGATACACGGGCACTCAAAGCTATTGCTCCGCTTAGCCGCCGGAAAACAGGGAGCTAGATAACTCTGTGAGGTGGCCCATCAAGCATTACAAGCTGTCTCTCCAAAGTGGCAAAGGAAAGGAAATGAATGATTGGGGACCGGTCAGCTTCCGTTCAGTGGCGGGCGGAAGACGGGGCATTCAGCCATCTCAAAACCTCTAGAGCTAGCCATCCAGCTACATGTAGAAGGTGGCAACCAAAATGCGCCCTGTCCTTGTCAGCCACCACTCTGTGTCGCATTTAGAGCTTCCTGGCTCCCACGTTCGGCATAGCTACTAGCCAGAAGTCGCTTGCTTCTTCGACTTCCGGATGCCGAATGATGATCGGTGATCGGTTCGAAAGAGTTGAATAAGCTCTACTCTAGCTAGTACCGGTAGGGTGTAGCTGTACCGGTACGGATGACATTCCCCGGAAGAAGGAAGCGCGCTAGGCCGTTCTCGAGTTTCCATGGCACAATAAAATAACATTAGACTACTAGTACTAGCTAGACTAGAGCAAGTCATCTCACGAGACGGCAAGAATATCTTCTGAGCCGTCCAAATGAGGGATGTCCTCGAACCAAGAGAGGAGCTTGTTTGCCGCTTTCATGGTCTGCTCCACGTGACATCCGCGAAATGCCCCAATAGCTGGCCGTGCCTCGTCAATGAGCTTTGGGCCACTCGATCAGCCTCATTCACCTATTGCGGTATGTTCTTTAGGCACACAAAGGACGGTACCGGTATCAAACCTACCCTACTTTACAAAGAACGCCATGCATTGGACCGACTTACGCAATTGGACAGAGATGGTAAATTGTAAATTGGAATAGTTTTTAATGTTATATTTCGCTGTGAAGCAAGCAATGGTATCTGTGGAGCTCGTTAACCAAAGAATCGCCTCGTGTAGATTGCATTTGCTACTTGGGTTGTCAAACTGTCGTTCTCTTTTTATTTCTTCAGATCAGGCTGCTGGACACCCCACGTTTTAGGTGTTGCCTTGAGAGTATTCCCTTTCTTGGTGGCCTCCTGCAAGAGCATTGCTTGCATTCCGATTTGCTGTGCGCCCGGTGGAGGCTTCTTCTTCTGCTTGGGCTTTTGCCCTGCTGCGACATCTCCGCTGGCAACAATGACCTCCTCAGCTTCTTGTTTTCCCGCCTGCTTTTTCAGGTTCGCCGCCATGAGCGCTACCAATTGTGGATCCGCCATTATGATTGTCGTGTCAAACTGCTGCTACTTCCGATTGGTGGGGTATCTTCCGAGTTTAGTAAAAGCAACTGTCCTTCAGATTTGGAATTGCTTTGATCGGATTTGTGCACTTGCTGCCTCTTCCTTGACTTGACCTTTCGATAGACACGCTTTCTAATTGTTGAGAACAACAGGTCCACTATCAACAACTTGAGCGAAGGACTTCAGGAGAGGGTTTCTTCGATGGACTTTTTGTGTTTCTTTGATCTTTGATCCTCGCTGGTGGTGTCGTTCTGGATCAAACGCGATCGTGCAGGGATCTTGCACTCCCCATCGGGAGCATTCCAAAAGCCAAACAAAATTGTAATTACTTTGGATGGTCACGGCTGCTAAGGCTACCGATGCCGCGACGGTTATTGACACATCGTGCTTACAGTATTTATCGTAGTTGAGGTAAACTTGGGTGAATGTTTAATTTTGCTCTGGCTAGATTACCGCATTTACCAATCTTCCAAACAGTCTCAGGCACGGACTACCCGCCTCGCTGTCTTATTTCCAACATGGTACCGGTGGTACGATAGTTTTACGGTAGCACTCAACACATAGCGGTAACAACCTTCTTGATGCAGACAATGAACGAATGGTTATCCAAGAGGGACGCCGTCTAGGAGAAAGCATGGGTATCCAAGAGGGACGCCGTCTAGGAAAATGCATCAGTTCCAGAAAAGAGCAAACAAGTTTGGCATCTCCAGAAAAGAATGGCCATCAGCGATCCGGATCTATTTGTTCCTGTTTTGTACATGTCTTCCCGTCTTCCCAGCAAGCTAGGCAGCAAGTTGAAACGAAACTCTATAATGGCGCACCAAAAATGTCACTCAACCAATACTCTGGTCAGAAAACAAGAAACGCTCTTTGAAGAAGAAACCTCTATATTGTTACAGGCAGTACCCTCATGATGAAGGATCACCCAACTCTCTCCCTCTCTTTCAAAGTAGATTGTCATCTTCACAAAGTTCCTTCTGCGATGTGCCAAATGACACTCAATGCCCTTGTCATCTTCTTTCTTGCTTTTTCATTTCTATTCCATCGTGTCATTGTTGTCCACCTTGAGTCTTTTCGAGGTAATATAGAGCAGCTTGGCAGCCTCCGACGAATCCTGTCACTGAAACAGTCGCAGCCATAAGCATGTGTGGAGCATATTCATCTCTAGCCACATTAGCCACGGATGTTCTCCCCACTTGAAGCACTCGATGGGCAGTGCTCATCATGTACACGGCTCTGGTAATTTGTAGTGTCATGTTTCCTGGACTTGTTTGTGGCTTTTGAGTTGATCTAACTAATAAATGATTGTGTCAATTTGTGTCGTCCTTCTGGCTTGAAAACCTCTGATAGACCACCGTATTCCTTTCTAACTTGTTTTCCCTCTTCTTACTAAAATGAGCCCATACCTCCCCACAACCAATGGCTCTGCATGATCGCTCAGGCTTGTCCATGAGAACACAATCAACACAAACACGAACATTTTTGCGAGGTTGAAACATGCCGTTTGTTCGGAATTTCTTTGGCCTTCAAAGAGTTCCCATTTCGAGATTGTTGCCGTTTCTTCTTCGTCGCGCGCACAATCACGAGTTACTGCAGTCCCGAATATCGCTGACGTATGTGCCGCCAACAAAAGATCCAAATGGCGAGCGCCGACAAGCGGCGCTCGCCTAGAGCAGCACAGCACGACTAGTTGAGTAGTGTAGGGTGGTGGAGAGACTCGGCCATTTACTGAGCCGACCGTCTCCGCGACCCAGGGGTGCCGCTCGTG